TTCCCTGCTTTCCCGCCCCCGTCCTGCTCCATTACCACATGCCCGTGGCTCCCAGATGCATCCCCGGACTGAGGAGCATGGGACCGCGCTGGTAGGGGTGTGTATGTGTGCGCACATGTTGGCAGGCACAGGGGCAGAGAGAGAAAGAGAGAGTGTGTGTGTGTGTGTGTTCATAGGGTGACTCTTACACACACGCTCCTCCATAGACATGTGCCTACGCTTCCCCTCGCACTGCCATACACAAATGTCAGCCACCCTCCCCTCACACTCCCTCTCCACAAAAGAAGGCTGAGAGGTGATCTTGTGGCCACCTACAAATTCATTAGGGGGGATACAGCAAGGGATTGCTGTTCACCAGGATGCCTCTTGGGGTAACAAGGAACAATAGTCACAAACTGACAGAGAGCAGATTTAGGCTAGATATTAGGAAAAACTTCTTCACGGTAAGGATGGCCAAAATTTGGAATGGGCTTCCAGGGGAGGTGGTGCTTTCCCCTACCTTGGGGGTCTTTAACAGAAGGCTGGATAGGCATCTGGCTGGCGTCATCTGACCCCAGCACTTTTTCCTGCCTAGGCAGGGGGTTGGACTCTATGATCTGTTGAAGTCCCTTCCAACTCTTGCATCTATGAATCTATGCATACCCACCCACACCCCACATACCCACACACCCACAGCCCACACAAACCTATACCCACCCCCCACAATATATAAGAACAAGACTTTGTTTTAAGCTATTGTACAGTCACCTGTGCATACACTACACAAACAAACACATGTAAATCAGGACAAAAATATTTTTTGAAATCAAATTAATGAATGTTGTAGATGATCACTTTTTAGAATAAAATTTGGTATTTTTCTGGTTGAGATGGCAAAACCCCTTGCTGAAAGGAGTACTTCCAGGGGTTAGGGGGTGGGACTTCTGGTCACAAGATGGAGACCAAGGGGCAGGGCACCTGTCAAGGGGGGGCTACCCATGTGGCCCTTGACAGCTTGCCAAAACTTGGTAAGCGGCCCTTTGCCCAAAATAATTGCTGACCCCTGCTCTACCAATTCAAGTTAGATCACTGTCCTACAGCATCCCTGACTCCTTTGTAGTCCCCCACAACTCTCTCCTTGCAGGCAGGCATGCTAGCACTAGACCTGCAATCAGTTGCTCTAGTCAAGCTTCCAGTGGGCCCTGTACCAGAGCTCTCCCAGAGCTGAGCCAGCACAGACTCTTTCCCCAGCCTCACTTCCTGCCTCCAGCCATCTATCAGCTGCAGGTAGGCAGCATAGGGTGGGAAGGGAGGCATCTGTGTTCCCTATATGAGCCCCGAGACCTGGGAACCAAAGTCCCCAGGCCATGCCCCTGCACCCTCTTACGAAGCACCCTACGATGTACATACACATACGACATGGAGCCCAAGAGAACCTCCACACTTCGGCACAGTCCCACAAAACCCAACAGACCCTAACTCCTGCACTTCCAGCCAGGGACTCTCATGCCCCTGTGCTCAGGCACAGCCCCATGGAGCCCAACCCTGGTTTCTGCACACATCTTGGTGGCCAGAGCCAGGTACCCTGCCAGCCTGACCCCAACATGGACCACTCCCAGAGCTAGTGTGGACAGCTTGCCTCTGGAGGGTCAGGGCAGCAGGCGGCAGAACATCAGGACTGGCCCTGCATGGAGGCAACCCTGTGACCTCTGTGGCTTGGCCATTGCCAACAGGTACCTAAGCCATAGGCACATGAAGTGCTGCAAAGCTTTTCTGGCCCACAGCTACAGAGTCCCAGAGTACTAGAGTCAGGAGAGGTATGAGGGTGTGCCTGCCCATGCCCAGCAGCCAACCAGTGGTGGCCTGGGTGCATGGCTGTATTTGACAGTCTCTGGCAGTCAAGGAGTTTGCGGGAGCGCCCCCGACCTGCAGACCTCAGCCAGTGCAGGCAGCCTATGTGCCCCACTTTGTCCCCAACCACCAAAGACTGTTTACGAATGTGTATACTGTTTGCTACCCATCTACACTAGGCCACTTACAGATAACTGCATAACTTAGATTGATTTTGCCTTAGACTTTTTGATTGTCTGTACTTAGCCTTTGTGTGCACCTGCATTTACCATAAAATATTGCTACCAGAGGTTTTTTTGTAGTTTTGTAACTATACAAAAAAGGCATTTTAAATTATCTGTTAAACAAGTCTACCTTAGATGTGTTGGATGTATAAAGAAATAATGCAGGTGAATTTAGGAAAGCAGACCTTTGCCTGATCTACATCTCACAAAAATGTAATCAAGGAAATAACCATACAAAATTTCATTACTGAATAGGGAATTACTGTCTCCAAATTTCATGTAGAAATGGGACCAACAAAGAGAAAGCTCCTTTTCTTAGACACTTTTCTTTCAGCTCCTCTCCCAATTCCCTGAGGCTGTGTTATTAGTATTTTTCTTCATATATCACTCCCTACTTAATCTGGAACTCTTGCTGGCGGTAGGCTTCTGTTGCTCTTAGATGCAATCTTCTCACAGACAATTCCTATACGGGAGACAAAGGAAGGAAAAAGTCTGGAAGTGAACTGCTAGTAAGTAGCAGAAGGTAGAGTATGAGGCTTTGAATCCATCTTTTATTGGGATAGTAGTCTGTACAGTGTGAATATCCAAACTCAGTGGAAGGAAGACAACCTTCTAGGGGGCAGGAGGATATTAAGCTAATAAGAGAAAGGGTTAGTAAAATACAGAACATGTAAATACTAATTTAGCACAAAATCATGATATTGAAAGTTAAATTAAGCAAAAACTAAACTAGTGCAGAATTGTATTTATATATTTATCTTAATTTATACACGTCATTTGTAGGAGCCCAAGTATACAGGAGATTTGCAGCAGTTCTTACAACTATAGCTTACTATGACTGTAACTGGGTGGGATGATTCTAGGTTCTATCATGATCTACCTGTGGTCAGCTTATGTTGCATTTTAACCTGTTTTTTTAAATCTTTGTCTTTAGTTGTTCTTTTGTTCAATATCTGTTGTTCAACACCTTGCACACTACAGAGGTCAGTCTTATAGCCCTGCAGTAGGTCAGATTTCATTTTTAAGTATAGAAACTACATTTACTATTTTCCAATCATATGGTGTCAGCCTGACTAGCAATTCCAAGTAGTATTTCCACCATTCCATTCTGAAACGGAAATTGTACACTGCACAATTTAGCTTCATGCAACCTGGTAATTTCCTTCTTCATTTTCTCAATTCTATTATCATCTTGCTTTTGCCCCCATGGCCAGCATCACTATCCTTGTTAAAACTGAGGAAAAGTACTTAGTTTTTGGCCACACCAAGGTTCTCTCTACCTCAATGTCACTGCATAGTTGCCCAGCTTCTTTCCTCAGTCCCTTACGTACATAACTGAAGAACTTTTACTGTTTGTTTTAATATCCTTTGCAAGATCTAAAATCAGCCTGACTTTGCAATTCTTACTTTAGGCTGATGCTTCTTGATCTGATGCATACCGTTCTCTGCTGAACGCTCTTTCCTTATTTTTAATAAGGAAATCTTGAGGTGGCCTTTCATCCACTTAGGTCTGGAGCCCCTTCCAACAAGTTTTCCTGCCCCTCTCTCTCTTTCTTCCAAAGATGCTAAAACTATCAGGAACTTGAACTGACAAGAGAGGTAGAATTTTGAAGTCCCTGAGCTCCCCAGTCCAGTTGATTTTTAGTTTATCTTTGTAATCCCCTGTGAAGATGTGAGTTTGCAAAACTAACCAGGGGTATACAAAATCACAGTAAACAGCTGTGAGCTGCTTCAGATGCCTGATGCGGTTTGTATTTCTAAAGCGTGGTACTTCACTCAGTTTTTCAGGACCATTGCTGTGCTCCAGCTGAGTAGAGAACCAGCACTCTTGAAAGTAAAAAAGTCACAGCAGTTAGCTGAGCGGCTAGTCCTTAATTCAGCAAAGTGCGGTGAATTATTAAGCAAGTTATAAACCAACCCAATGCACAAAAACCAGGTTCTACTATACAAACATTTTGCTTGTTTTTTACTGACCATAATCTGTACCCTAAACAAGCTGAACATAATCCTGTACTGCCTGGCTACCTGTTCATACTTATAACACACACAACCTGCGTCCAGTCAGTCTCTGCATTCATTACTGGTAAGTTGCCATTTCCTTCCTTGTCCCTGTCAAACCAACCACTACAAACTCTCCGTAAAAACTTCATGCTTGCGGTCTCATTTGCAGGCTCCTAATATCTGATGAATGCTTGGCTTTTAAAGTCATTTGCCAAAGTCAACCCTCACCCTTAACCAGAGATCAGGCCTTCAACCCCTAAGCAGTGAAGTCTATCACTCTCATAGCACACAAAAGCAAACCATTTAAAGTGTCCTATGCTACCTCAAATAGTTATGCAAGAATTGTTAACATGATACATTTTTCACTCAAAAGCATTAATGGTTTATTACACCAGACACTAGATTTTCAGATATATTAAAATGTAATCATTAAATTGAATAAAAGTGAAACTTTTCATACTTGTTGTCTTCTTGGATTTAATATTTTTCAAAGTTTCAACAAAAATGTAACCCTTGCCTCTTAAATCTTTATTATGGCATTTACGGCACTGACAGACATGGAAAAAAAACAAAACAAAAAACCCAGCACTTTCCCAGAAAAGGAAGTGCACTAGTTCAACCCAGCTCTCCAACATCTGTGCATATCGGGTGCTTCAGTGGGGCTTTCTGGCACTTTGAATCAGCTATTAGAGAAAAGTGCCAAAAAGCCCTCTGAAGTGTCCAATCTATACAGATGCTGGGCAAGCTGGGTCCAACTAACACAATGCCTCTTCTGGTCATGCACTGCGCTCAACATGGGGGCACGCTGAGCTTAAAATAAAGTGCTGGTTTGTTTTTTTTTACGTCTGTAACCAGCCTCAGTTACCGAGTACTTCAACTTGAAAAGGGCAGTGACCTTTTAAGTTTTTGCACGTAATTCTTCATTCAGACTGTGATAATAAGTACTTCCCTGCTTTAACATATAGTAGTCTGAAAAAGCAGTGTTAAAAGTGAATATAACATGAGAAATAGTTCTATATTTATTCTAATATACATATTGTACCTTTATGCAATGTGATACTTAAGTTTCAAATGTTAAATACACAACAAGTAAGATTTCAGTAATTTCTTTCCATAGAAGTTGAATTAGTTTTGTAAACTATTCATTCCACCTCAACACTGTCACTTATCAAACCCACACTTGGCATTTCAAAGCAATCAAATTATCCAGTAAAACTTACATTAACTAGACCAAAATAGTGCTCGTTGACTGGAAACTGTTCTGGACCAATCTCTTTCTCTAAAGCCGAGGCATTGGCGCCCTAAAAAAAATAAACAAAAGATAACATTATAGTAGTTGCCCAGTTTTTTCCTATGTCCACAATGTGGTTTTACCGCTTTACCAAAGTCTTTCAACATGAAAGACACATTTTAAACTGTTTCTTCAAGGACTTGTGGCCACCTATGAGTAACTGCACACACAAATGACTGATTATCTAACTGTAGTTTGTGTTCATATTAGGCACAAACACAAACCCAGTTCTGAAATTCTGGCACAAAATGTCTAATATGAATCAGCTACTTGTTTAAAACAAAACAAAAAAAAAAACAACAGGTACTTAATTGCTTTTGAAATAACATTCAGCAATGTGGAACATTGCCAATCCATATGCTCAGCATTAACAGGTTATATTCCACACTATATTCTACCAAGATTAAATAACTGCTTTCTAATTGTCTCAGTCCAATATGTTCCTACCTACCCTTCCTCCTGATATATTCTTTTTTTTAATTCAAGTTAACTTTTTGATCGATGAGGAACAGAAAGAGAGAGAAGAGAGAAGTTTGGTCGTGTTTATACCTGTTTTTAGGTACACCTAAAATTGCGCTAATGCAGTCAACACACATGTACAACCCTCTGGAATTAAATACTATGGATGCCCTGGGCTCTATTACAATAAAGGGTACTCTCTTCCTAGATGAAAGGAAAGTAAAAGAATTATTCTGACCACAGTCACCAACTTTTATTTTTGTGAGGGGGGCCTAAAATGATGCCCCCCTCCCACCTCTCCTGGTGGCACAGCCAGAGCAGATCCAAGTGGAGCCCATGGGGGAGAGGTGGTGCAAAGTTGGGACCGGCAGTTAGTGATAGGGCTGCGCAAAACAGCACCATTTTGTTTTGACTTCCATTCCACCGTTTTGAAAGGACAGTGTTTCATTTCATCATTTCATTTCATTTTGAAGCACTGTTC